CAGGAGAAGCTGGACTCCCACGTAGTTGACTGTGGTTCGGGTCCCAAACCCAGCAGCTTAAAACTCACTCCGGGGGCGGGTGTGTGCGTGCCCAAAATTCTGAGAGGAGACTGAAGGAGAAGGGATTGCAGCGTGGTCATCCCCGCTGGGGGGGCGGGGGGGGTGATTTCTCGCGTTCTGTCTCTCTGTGTCCATCTGTCTGTCCGGCGAGCATACACACCCTATAGCAAAAATCTCTCTCTCAAAAAAAACATAAACAGAAAGAGCAAGAGCCCTAGGACTGGCAACCAGTTTCTCCTCTGGCTCTCCTGAGACAATGAGGCCTTAAGGCATGGTCGACACGCTCCTTTCCTGCTGTGGAGAGCCTGTGGCAGGCCCCTTGGTGTGGCTCCCCCTACCCAGGCCTGCCTCCCCCTCAGGGTCCTGGTGCCTCAGGCTTAAGCCGAAACCCTGACTTCCTGCCACCCCTGGTGTAACAGGATTTAATCTGAGGCCCAGTGGCCACTTGTCAAAATTACAGGGTGGTAAAATTGGAACAAGCAGAGGGAGATAGCCCTTCACCTACTGCGGTCTCCCTGGGGTTTTCACCGAGGTGCTGTCATTTTCTGACCAATGATGGTAATTTTCTCCCCCTCAAGACCAGCTTAATCATGCCAAGGGTCTTGGAGAGCACACACAGGTCGAAAGAAAATAACACGGCGGGGCCGATCTCCGCACAGCCCGAGTGCTCCGGTGGCTGCTCCAGCTGATTCGCAACACGCCGCTCAGGAGCCAGCGCAGCCCACGTGGGCCTGCGGGGCCGTTCGGGGCATGCCAGGGGCACAGGACTGCGCAACGAGACGGTCTGCCGTGCAGCCGGACGCCTGACCCCGGAGAAGCCTCCATAGCAGGCTGTTGTTTAAGCTGAGGACACGGAGCCAGCAGAAGGTGTAGCGGTTTCGCCGCTGGACTCTCACACGGCCAGCTATGTTCGAGTCCCTGATCTGGTGGCTTGAAACTCACCCAGGCTCATGTGTGTGCGTGCCCAAGATCCCAGAGGAGAACAGAGAAGGGATTGCAGTGTGGCCATCCCCCAGGGGCATTATTTAATCTGTCCTTCTTACTGTCTCTATCTCTCTTCAGCGAGCGCACACACCCTATAGCAAAAATCTCTTTTTAAAAAATTGAGAGGGACCAGCGGATGGCGTAATAGCTATGTCACCAGACTCTCATGTAGTCGACCACGGTTCCAGTCCCGGACCCGGTGGCTTAAACTCCCCCCAAGCACGTGTGCAAGTGTGCCCAAGATCCCGAGAGGAGAATGGAGGAGAAGGGATTGCGGCATGGCCAACCCCCCTGGAGGTCATTTCTTGCTTTCTGTCTGTCTCTCTCTGTCTTTCTGTCTCTGTCTCTTCGGCGAGTGCATACACCCTTGCCCATGCCAAACCCTCCCTTCAAGCCTGGGATCCAACCATGGTTTTAATAGCAAGTCACAAAGGGAGAAATGAGGAGAACTCCCAAGCCCTGGGCCTTCTGTCGTGCGCGTGTGTGTCAGTGCTGGAGACAAGCGTGCTGGTACAGGAAACACGGCCAGCCCGGCTCAGTGCCGGACGGGCTTGGAGTCAGCGGTCTACTCACAGGCGTAGAGAGAGTTCTTCCGCTGTTTTCCAATCAGTCACCCGGCTTCGAGCATCTGTTTCCTCATGCTGTTCACTCTGACTTGTCACCTAACATGCACAGAAAGCACATTTTACCCGGAGCTGACTTAACTGCAGTGTAAAACATGAAAAAGCATCCTGGGCTCCAGTAACGAGCTGATCCTCACGTGAATCACCGACTTCTTGTGGCTGAGGACCCGGCCGAGTGGTGGCTGAGGACAGTGAAAACCAGCCCTATGCTAAAGCCTAAAGGGAGAATGGACAGCCGTGTGTCCGGGCTGAGGATCCCAGTCACCTGTGAGCTCACACCAACCAGCTCACTAAGACAAAGCGACCCAGAGGGGTGACCCAGAAGGGGTGACTCAGACGGGTCCTGCAGGGCAGGGGCAGAGACAAGACAAGACGCCGCCAGGCCTCCAGCCGCTCTCTTTCTCTCCCCCTGCCTCTCTGGGCAGCAAATCCAACGTGCTTGTGCCACTGCATCCTGCCCTGCTCAGGCCCTAAGCCTCGGCCCAGGGAAAGGCCGTGAACGGGGTGGGTGTGAGGACCCAGCCCGCCCTGCTCCGCCCGTTCGCTGAGGCTGTGGTTTCCACCCTCGTTCTGTTTCAGCTGAGTCCGGTTTTGTTGGCTAACACCTCTGAGAAAGCTATCGTCCAGCGAGAGGGAAGAAAGGTGAGAAGCCGCTCCTTTGTGCCTGCCCGTGGAACATATTCCTCTTAGGAATTAGACCCTTCCAGACAACCGTCTGTCTGGGAAGCAGGTCTCAGCTCTCGGACCTGGTGTAGCATTGGCCTTCGCCTTCAGGTAGGGCTTTGGCCTGGGGGGAAGGAAGAGGATGGGCCTGGCTGGAGGGAGTGGTCTGGTGCCGTGTGGTTTTCTTTCTTCCTTTTTAAATGTTTTTAAATTCCCAGAGGATGTGTACGCCTGCCAGAGAGAGAGAGAGAGACAGAGAGAGGGAGAGGGAGAGAGCACCTTTCAGTAGGATATGGTCATGCCACAGTCCCTTCTCCTCCATTTCTCCACCCTGGCTGGATTCTGGGCACACACACACATGCAAGCACACACGTGCCTAGCGTGTTTTCCAAGCCACTGGGAGAGTCAGGCCATGGCTGGCCAGGTGGAAGCTGGCTTCGCTAACCACTAGGCTGCCCACTTCGTTAACCACTAGGCTCCAGCCAGCTAGGGCTGGCATTTCCTAATGGCACGGCTGTCCCAGAGCACCCACGAGTCACATGGAGTTGTTTAAAAAATTTCAATAAAACTTACAATTCCACCCACACTGGCTGCATTTCGAGGTGGCTCAGGGCTGCAAACCGGCCAGTGCACATTAGGAAGGTTTTCACCATCGCTGGGAGCCCTACTGGCCAGTGCTGTCCTGGGCTCTCGGCAGTTCAGAGACTCACCACGCCAGGATGCCAGTGCTCCAGGACCACCTGCCCCAGACCCTGCCTGACACAGGAGCTGGGAGACTGTGCCCCGGGGCAGTTTCGAACCCGGGCGGCTGCTCTCCGACAGGCTGAATCAGTGCTGGAAAGAGCGACTTCTCTTTTGCAATCCTTGCTGGTCCAACAAGCTCTTGCGGGGTTACATCACTTCCTAAAAAGCAGGCAAACACCTCTCCTTCAAGTGAGCACCGACCCAAACAAGCAGGAAGCAGGAAATGTTCGCGTTTCAGGGAGGCTGCAGCTCCGCGCAGCATCCTGCCCGCGCGCGGCCGCCAGGTTGACATGCCGGGGCCCCGCGCAGCCCGGCTGCTGGCCCTGCTGGGCGCGCTGCTCCACGCCGGCCGCGGTAAGCTCTCCGCGGGAGTTCGCGACGCGGGCCTGCGGGCGCAGGGGCCAGGGAGCCCCGCCGGGAGGGCGGCACCCGCAAACCTAAGCCTCCCAGGACAGAAGTGCAGGGGGAGGGTGGGCTCGGCTTGGCCGCAGTGGCCGCCTCTCCATCCAGCTGGGGGCTAGGTCTAACCCTCGTGCGCGCCTTTGTCTTCGAAGCCCTGTGGGCCCCTGTAATTTACCAACTTTAATGGCCGTATTAAGGAAACCATAAACTCCTTGGCAGTTCATGTAAGAGAGCGTTTCCATCCACCGTAAAAGAGAAATAATAAATTTGCTTTTAATAGTGTGGGCTGAGACGTCTGCCAGCTCTAAAAACTCCTGGAAAAAAAAAATAAAGACACGAGAAACTGGGGTATGCAAATTGACTTTTGGAGAGCGCAGCTAAAGATAAACTCTCAGTGAAAGAGAATGTAAACAGGAAATTATCCCAGGCGTTACCAGGCACCCACTCTAGCATCAGAAAAGGTCTTTCACCTGCTTCTCTTTGATTGTATTACTTTGGGGCATCTTTTCTTTGCAGTAATTGTTACTAGTGAAGGTTTGTTTGATAACGCTGTGTTGGTCTGTGGTATTGGGGAAGACGCCGAGTATGTCTTATTCTTGGGGGTTTAAAAGCAGCCATTGCTCTATCATGGCTTTGACAGTTGCTACAACAGGGTGGATGGATGGCTACGGCCTCTTAGGCTTTGTTGACTTGCTCATGGTTGCCTCGATCGCGGTGTGGGGCAGTATTTCAATCAAAAGCTCTCCCTCTCAGGTTACATCTTTTTTTTTTTGAAGAGGTTTTTGCTATAGGGCGCGTTCGCTTGCCAGAAAGAGAGACAAAGAGACAGAGAGAATTACCCCCGCCGCAATCCCTTCTCCTCCATTCTCCTCTCAGGATCTTGGGCATGCACGCACACGCGCCAGGCATGAGTTTAAGCCACTGGGTCTGGGACTCGAACCGCAGTCGGCTATGTGGGAGTCCAGCGACATAGCCATTATGCTAACTGCTGGTCTCTCAGGCTGCACTCTTTAGGTCCGGTGGGAGCATCAGGCACTGGCCTCACAGATCTAGCAGCGTCCTGGAGATGAGCAGTCAGCTAGCTCCCCTCCACCCTGTGCTCTTTTGCTGCAGGAGGGGAGGGTCTCCCTAGGTGGTCTCCCCAGGCTTCTGAGACGGAAAACAGAAAGGGCAAGGCAAACCCTTGCATCTGGAGAGAGGTGTGGCTGCAATGAGGTGTACAAAACGAGTTTGAGCATCAGGGTGTCGTTTGATGCATGGCGTTTTGGGAGCTGCTGAAAGATGGCGCAGCCTGAGCCATGGGGAAACAGGTGGACGAGTGGGATGTCGGAGTCTCACTGCGGGATGGCTCCCTGACTTCTACTCCAGGTTCTTTTCTACCTGAACCCCCGGGGGAGGAGAGCAATCTTGCTCCCCGCCCAGACCTCTGGAACCTGTCCCTGTAGGGTGTCCCTCAGAGGGAAGCAGAGCCGGCCGCCCTCCTCCCACCTCTCGTAAGTGTCTCCACGCCACCTTCGGGGCCTCGGACACTCCCCTGGGAGTGGTGTTGAACCTCGCCTGTGTGTTCTCTTAAACTGCTCCAAAAACTAACCGAGGTATCTGCAATGCAGAGGATGCTAAAGGATCAACTCAGAGACACTAAGTTCTCTCCATCCCAGAATCTGGTTGCGTGGCCTCCCAGGCACCCCTCATCTGTGCCCTGTGGACTCACACTCCTGGCCTCTGCAGGTCTTCCCCCACTTGGTGGCTCTTGCCTGTAACAAATGCCCAGGTCTCCTTTTCTACTTGCTGAATTCCTATATAACCTTAAAAAGCTCCCCCTGGGGCTGGCAGATGGGGTGTGCTGGTTAAGGCACCGGACTTCCATATGGGTGACTGTGGTTCAAGTCTTGGACATGGCAACTTGCTTTCTCATTTTTCTTCTCTCTCTCTCTCTGATCAAATTTTTAAAATAATAATAAATAAAATAAACAATTCTTAAGAAAGATGAAAAAGACTCACCCTGGCTGTCCCTCTTCTCTGCCCCTGCCCTGAACTCCACTCCTCCTGCCCCCCACACTCCCCACCTTGTGCCACATTGACTGCACCTGTTAGTACAGCCAGGGGCACCCACCAGGCCTTGAACACCTCCAGGGAAAATCCCCTTCGGTTTACCTTTCACTTCCCCAAAGCCTGCAGAGTCAGCATAACTTAGGAGCTCAGTAATGGCTGATCGGTGAACGTCCTCCTTAGTACGAATGTGAAGGCCGATCGATCGATCGCTAAAGCCGGTAAGCTCTGGAAACCAGATGGCGGCCGAACATCAGGAGGAGCCAGAGGTGACAAGGGCATTTCGGTGGCGTGCAGGTGTGTCTCAATCACTCAGTGCCCTCTTGGTCCTGCCTGGGTCCTCAGTGTCTGCAAATGCAAAAATGTCGCTTGCAAAAAAGCTGTCAGTGAAAGCTCATTGCTCTGAGGTCCGTTTATGGAAAGTGCCTGAGACTTCAGGATATGTCAGTTGGTAGGTGTTGCATGTGCATTTCCTTGAATTCTTCAAACAGTATCAGGGTGGGCCAGCAGGTGGTGTGGAGGTGAAGTCGCTGATCCCACGTGGCCAGCTTCATGGTTGAGTCCGGGACCCGGCAACTTGAGAATCACTCTGGGTATGTGTGTGAGTATGCCCAAAAATCCCAAGAGGAGAACAGAGGACTGTGATGTGGCCATCCCCGTGGGAGGTGATTTCTCACTTTCTCACTGTCTTTCTCTCTCTGGCGAGCTTACTGGCGAGCTTACGCGCCCAATAGCAAAAACAAAAACAAAAACAAAAACAAACAAAAGAAAACCAAAACCAAAACAAAAAACTGAACATGTCGTATAAGAATCCAATCTACTGCATAGCTTGACTCTCCCTTGCAAGCACTGGGAGTCATATCCCAAATTCAATTCTTTCTTTTTTTTTTTTCTTGTTTTGCCATAGGGTGCATGTGCTCCCCCAAGAGAGAGAGAGACAGAGGCAGTGAGAGGGAAAGTGAGAAATCACCCCCTAGAGGGGATGGCCACCCTGCAGTCCCTTCTCCACTCTCCTCCTAGGATCTTGGCTTACACACACACGCGCCAGTGTGAGTTTCAAGCTACCGTGTCCCGGACTTGAACCGTAGTTGGCCATGTGGGAATCCAACCACTTAACCATTATGCCATTTGCTGGCCCCCAATTATTTTTTTATTAACAACAAACATCCTCAGTGGAGACCAGCCTCGTTACCTCTGAGTCAGCACCTCCTCTCTTTAGATAAATAGGTAGATAAACAGATAGGCAGATAGACAGTTACCCTGAGACGAAATTGAGTACTACCCCCCGGGGCCAGCAGGTGGCGCGATGGTGACGTTGCTGGATGCCCACATGGCTGACTGCGGTTTGAGTTCCAGACCCCGGAGCTTGAAACCTGCTAGGCGTGTATGCGTGCCTGCCCAAAATCCCGAGAGGAGCATGGAGAAGGGAATGTGGCATGGCCATCCCCCTGGGGAATGATTTCTTGCTTTTGGTCTCTAGTGAGTCCACCCCTGTAAAAAAAAGTCTATAAAAAACCCGTAAGAATCAGAATTGTATGATGAGGGGAAGTTTGTGAAGAAGAGAAACAATAGAGGAAGTACTCGTTGGGTAGCTGGAGTGGCACTCGTGGAGCCTGTAGCCTCTCCTGCCTCAGCTCAGTGAGGGTGACTGTCCTGTGCTACTTCCTGGGACGGCCCCAGTTTCGGGTATTCCTGACGTCGATGGCTAACAACAGTGAGTGAGCATTACCTGCTCGGAACACCAGGCATGCCAGCTCCTGTAGTGACAGAGCCGCCCTGGGGGACGGTCCTGTCATTCCTATTTCCATGAGAACACAGAGGCGGGGATGGGGGGGACAGAGGGACCCGCAGCTAGGCAGTAGGTGAGGCCAGGTCCACCTCGGGAGCCCGCACTGTGACTGTGCACCAGGCCACCCTAGTTTTCGGGCTGTGCCAGGCCTGCTGTCTGGCTGGGGGCTGGAAAGCTGTGACCCTGGCACCCTCCTGCTGTGGGCGTCTCACAACCCTCTTGGCTGAGGTTCAGGTCTCTGCATGTCAGCCTCAGCGCTGCGCTGGTTTGCACCAGGACAGGGACGGGCTGACAGGACCGGGATTGCTAAGAGTCGGGTTAAATTTGAGGCTGCCTGGGGGAGAAGGGAGGGGCTGACAGAGGTGCAGGTTGAGAACAGGGAATGTGGGATTAGCAGGGCTCAGAGTGTGACCGAGCAGGGAGAGCCACAGTCAGGCCACTGTGCACAGGGTGTCGGGGTGGGAGCCCTAGAAGGAAGGCGCGGCCCACACCGGGCTGAGCGGCTGCGGGAGGGCTCCCTGAGCTGACCCCATGGCCACGCCTGGGACAGAACCAGACAGGCAGAGAGGGCACGGTGCCTGCATCCACCGCGTCTTACAATCCTGATCCCAGGAAAGCAGGAGAGGAAAGAGGGGGGCTAGGCAGGGCTCGAGTTTGTAAAGACATCACGCGCCCTGCAGTTTGCCGGGCCACATGTGGTGTGCGCTACCCTCACAGATTGGCAAGGGTGTGGAGAGGCAGGAACTCCACACCCCGGCAGGAGGGGAGGTTCGACCGCCACCTCCTCTGTCCTGCTGCTCCACCGTCCCCTGGGTTTTCGATTTTAGCTATGTTTTGCATTTTGAGAAAATCAATCCTTTTAAAAATTTACATAACATATTGGGGTTCCCCCCCTTGTGTTATTTATTCATTCTCTGTGTCTTTATTTTAAATGTATTGTCACCTCTTTGATAAGCTTTATCCAAAGTTGTGTCGGTCTCAGCTTCCTGCTCGTGGTATCTGGTGCCTAGCATTTGCGTTGGGAATCTTGGGACATTGGGGCGGAACCCGGCACACAGAGAATGGTGCAAGAGATTTCATAGAACCCTGGGGGCCAGCAGGTGGCATGGTGGTT